ATCAATTGAGGGAAGGAAAGTCACAGATACAAGGTGTTTCCTAACATTCAGAGTTAGACAGGATCTGTTTCTGAAAAAGAAACCCAGTTTAATTTTCAGTTTCTTTACCAAGTTTTCCACATGAAGCTTAAAAGAGAGATGTGAGTCGACCAAGATACCCAAATATTTATAGGAATCAACAAACTCAATGGGAATCAAACACTAGCTATGTTTACATGCGCAGAATTCTTTGATTGAAATGTGTTCAGATTAAATAATCCAAATGTATTGTTTACATGGGCACAATCTGTTCATGACGAGCGTTTACCTGCAGCGGGTTTTGTTCTGAACAGCAGTACTGACATGTGCAGAGTGGTAAACTCTCCTTAAAAAAACACAGAAGAAGAAGTTCTACTTCCTGGATGAACGTAAACAAACCTGAGCACCAAAATGGACCCGCGACAGGTTTTAATGATGGTGGAGACGTTCCTGCACTCCCTGACTGAGCTACAGGTGATTCAGATCATTTTGAGCTCTTTCAGAGTTTCTAGTAGAAATGTTGTCGCTCACCGACCAGTTTTACTTCCCTGACATGCTAATATTATTAGCGTTAGCCAGGTGGAAATGGCAAAGTCGCACATGCGCAGTCAGGTCAGTTTTTCACGATCAGATAAAAACAAACAGATCAAGTGTTTACATGACACTTTTATTCTGACCGGCCATTTGATCCGGTTACTTATGTCCATGTAAACATACCCAGTGAGTCCACAGGACATCTGTGTTGGCGTTGGGGAATGACTCCAGCTTCCTACTCTCTGGTATGTACTGCTGTTCAGAACAAAGCCCGCTGCAGGTAAACGCTCATCATGAACAGATTGTGCCCATGTGAACAATACATCTGGATTATTCAAACAGAACACATTTCAATCAAAGAATTCTGCGCATGTAAACATAGCTGAAGAGTTAGTGAGAAGGCTGCCTACATGATCATTAGCTTGGTGGCTTTAAAAAGACACAAAAACACGTTTTTCCCCGTTCACTTTTAAAGATAAAGGAACTCCTTTGTGGCGAAGGAGAACTTTAATCCATGTCCATTTCACTTGGTTGTCCACTGGAAAACCTCGGACCAAGAGCTGGTTGTCAAAGCCGAAAATAAGTTGTCGGACAAATAAATGAAAACTGCGCATGTCCACCTCTACAAAATGTCCAACCAGTCACACACCAGACTGTCTGTGAGCTTAACAAGCTTGAGCAATGGCAGCCACTAAGGCAATAAAATGACAGAAGTTTCCCCCACCATTATCCAAGGAGGGCGACCCGGCCGTCAACAGAACCGAACGCCCCGCTCCGGACGGGGAGCAGATTGTAGCAGCTCAGTGCAGACATAGCATTGGTATCATAGTGCTTGTTTAACGCTTACCCCCCCACTGACAAGTAGCGAGACTGGCAATGCTGCTGTATCACTCTGCCA